GTGATTTATACAGGATTAATAGTGCAACATGCAGCTGAAATGCATGTTTGAATTAAGTGGAAAATAGTACTCTACAGTCTTCATATAATGCAACTTTAATGATATTTAAATAATTTAATTCCTGCTTTTAAATTATTGTAATGGTACAGCAGGATAGACATTTTATATAAACTAATAATGGCATTTTGAAATTAATGCATTATTTATTTTCTAAAATAAGCGAAGCATTGTATGTGTTGCTCACGGATCTATATCTAGATCCTATTTTGGAAACATTTTATGCTATTAATTGGCTGATCTTGAAAAACTAAGAGAGATGAACCTGGTTGGCATTTGGATGAGAAACCACCCAAAAGTACAAGAGTTGTATGCAAGACAGTGAAGTTAAAAAATATTCCAGAAAACAATGGCTAGCCACTTCCATGCTGTTGTCAGAAAACAATATAAAACATAACATCACTAAGAACTAAGTTTTATTCAAGGAAGATTTTTTTTAACCATGCCCTTTGTGTGTGTATCTATGTGCAGATTTGAATAAAGAATCATAATATTTATTTAATATACAACTTGTGAATTGAATAAACAAATAATTAAAATAAAAGGATAAGGCTGCCCATACTTGGAAGGGAAAATGTGAGTAATTTAGACATCACTTTAATTAATGATTTTATTCTTCTGGAATGAATTACACTAGTTGTTCAGAAATATGAAGTTAATAAAGTGCTGGAAACTAAAGAATTAGAAGGAAAACAACTGTTTAATATTTGGACAGCATCACACAACATAAGTGAATATGTACTTCTTGTGGAGTTTTTTTGCATGGGGGGAATATGTTTTTGAAAAATTAATTTGGTTTTGGCATACATTTTGGCAAAGTATTCTTTGCATATATCATACATTGTGGGTTGTCCAAAGTCCTCATTTGTAGCTACATAAAAGAGAGAGCGAAAGAAACTTGTGGAGGGATGTCATTGCTTTTTATCTCTCTTATTTCTTACATGAAGCATCATCATCATATGACTGTGTTGAAATTTGGGAATAGTAGTTGTAGAGGTAATGCATAGCAGATTAATTCAGACTTTACGGTTCTTTTTTTTAAAAATAAAGTTTTATTGAGTTTTAACAAAACAAATAAAACATCTTATTTGAGTACAGCATCATTCCGGGTTATCACATTTCCATTCAGACACAATTTCATATGCATATTCATCTTATGTATTCAACTTCATATCTTATTACTCTTTTTCCAACTTCTCACTATTTCTCCCTTTACTTCTCTTAATTTTCTTTTATGGTTATCTCATTTTCTTCTTATTCAATTGTATTTCTTTTACCTAAATTTCTATATCTTTTTATTCATTGTACTTATACTTTCGTCTGTCTTGTTTACAATTTCATATGTTCTCTTCCAACATTCTTAAGAAGCAAAATTCCCCCTATGATTGCCAATTGAAGTGCACACCTTTAAATCTTGTTACTATCATATGAAATCTCATTAAACATTGAATTTGTGAATTCTAAAATTATAACATTCAAATTTCTAATATCTATTTTATATCATGTAGATCTCATCATTCAGACTCTGCTTGGTACTTCCCCTTGAAAATGTAAAAAGAAAAATTCTAAAAACATAGCAAAAACAATACACACACACACACACACACACACACACACACACTAGTAAACAAAATAGTTATTCAAAATCATTCTAGTACTGGTATGAACCTTGTAAATCTTTCACTTTTTTTTTCAATATCTATCTTTGAGAACAATTGAAATGTTTCCCTCCCTTCTTCATTATTACTTAACTGTTAATAAGCATATCATTGGATAGTCATACAGTTTTAGCTTATAAATTATTTACTATTAATAAGCAAAATAATTATTCAAATTCATTCTAATAACTGGTATAAAATTTCCTATAAATCTTTCACATTTCTTTTCGATATTTTATCAATCTTTAGAAACAATTGCAATGTTTCCCTTTCTTCTTTATTATTGCATTAATTATAAATAAACATACATTGACATAACAATACAGTTTTATTTCATAGATTATTTACTTATTTCATTTCTAACTCATTAGAGTATTCTACTGTCACAACACTATCTTTTGTACCTTTGCAGAATCCTCACTTTTAACTTAATTTAGCCATTGTCTCTGTGTTTTCTAGCTAAGCAAATACCTTTAATCCTAGTACGTTTCCCCTTTTTCTTTATTTCCTGCTTTTGTCCCTCATAAGTTCTTTCCCTTTCTATCTCCCCCCCCCTTTTCTCATCCTTTTTTTATACCCTTCTCTCTAATTTTCCCTTCTGTAGTTTTCTTTTCTGCTTCTCCTTGCTGTTATACTTCTTTTTCGGACTATTTTTCTTTTTGGCTCTTCCCTTTGATCTCAAACTTTTAACTCCTTTCCCCCTTTTTCCCCTTTTTCCCACACTTTGCATTATTTGATCATTGAAAATGGCTTCTTCTTTGTCCCACCCTTCTTCTTGCTCTTGAAGCTTTTCCTTTTGTTTTTCATAGTTCAGGATCTCCATTTCAAAAAATTCAAATACGAAGCCAAAGGATCTTCCTCCCCTTTCTGCATCTTCTTTCTGTTTTTTAAGACTCGTCTTCAATTCCTCCAGGAGTGATGCCATTTTAAACACTTTTGAACAACCACCCGATTGACTTTAAGTAAAAACAGAAAAAGAAAAAAAAAATGCCAAAAACTTTTTTTTTTAATCACCAGATGATCCCAGACTGTTCCTTCTTGTTTCTTTTCTTTACTTTTCCTTTCCATGGGTTACTGTATCTTTTAATAAGATTTCAGTTACAATGTATCCTCGGGAGACTTTTCAAAGTTTCAGTGTTAATCCTCTTTATTTTTCCAGGTGGCACTCCATTTTTTCATTATTCCAAGTTCCACCCTTCTGCCTCCGCTCTTCTTCTTTTTAGGGCTTTAAAATGACCACAAAAAAAAAATCTTTATTCTCCTTTTGACATTCAGATTTCAGCTTAAAGTTGCCTATTAGTGTCAAAATAGATTAACATAAATTTCTTTCCATGCCATTTGTAATTGTCAATATAAAGGTTTAAAAAAGGGTTTTTAACCTCCTTTTCTCTCTTCTTTGCCGCTTAGCAATCTTCTTTCAGAAGTATCCCTCTAAGTACTTTTAGATTCAGGGTATCTTGCTTAGATATTCTCTGTTGTTTAGCCCAGTCTGTCCTGTTTTCCTCTTTGTCTTCCTCCTGCACAATCTTATCCAGTTGGGTTCTTCTTTGAGGTGGCTATTTCTGACCACCACTGCAACCGCCTTCAGGAAAGGGAGTTTAGACCAGCCAAGGAGGAGAGATGTGGCTCCCCTCCACTCAGCTAGCAATCTCCCCCCACTCTTCACCACCTCTATGGGGTGGCTTCAGCCCCGAATCGAAAAAATCAGGGTGCTCCAGTGATGAGCACAGATCAAAACCACGCTCAATCACAGATTTGGTCTGTTGCTGAAGAAACCCAAACCGCAAGTCCCAGACTTTACGGTTCTTAAAGTTTTTTTTTTTTGCTAGACAATATATCTGTTGTTGCTATGTTATAAAGCTCTACTGGACCATGAAGCCATATCAAAAAGACAAACCTTTGTTTTGTCCCAGACATGTAAGGACCTACAGTACATTCCATTGGTCACGTTCTCTTTCAAATTTTGCTGTGGGGTTGATGTAAAATGCTGAAGAAGTTGATGTAAGGTGCTAATGCAAATGAGGACATTGGAAAAAGATGACATGACCTTCCCATTCACAGAAAAGTAGTGAAAAATAATCAAGGGGAGAGATGAGCCAATAGAATATTGAAGAAAATAAGATCCTGTTCATCAGCTAGTCAGGGTACCTTGGTGCTTTCGGTTTTCCTCAACATCCTTCTTTTACCAGGTCAACTCTATGTGAGATTGATAAAATATTAAAGAATTCTACAATGGATGATATGACAAGCTTAAATACAAGAGAAACACTTTCCCTTTTCCTTTCCTCAAGTGGTAATAGCTTGTCAAATTTTTCATGTTTAACCCACCTAACCAATTCTAAGCCAGATTAGAACACAAAACAAGATCTTATTTTGTTTGTTTTACAAATCATCTGTCAACATTATAGTACTGTAAATAGCAAGCCTTGTCTGTTTTTTCTTCATGTAATAGGATGGTGTTGGCAAACATGTACTATACCTAACATCCACAGGATTAGGGAGGAATAGGTTAACAGCTTGCCAAACTTAAAGGAGTACTACTTGAATCTTATGGCTAATCATATCAAGTTGAGTAAAGTATAATAATTTTAAGGTATCTTGGAGCAAAACTTAGTAAAGATGGAAATCTTTTACACAAAGTTTAATAGAGATAATTCTGTTAAAATCAACTTAGGTATCTTGAAGTAAAATCTGTGAGAGATATTTCTTGACACCTTGCAGCTGGTTTTAGCAGAGATATTCTGAGTTAAACAGTGTTGGTAGGGATTTCTGGAAAATTTGGGATCCACATCTGTTAGAGATATTTCTAAAATATTTTAGGTCAATATCCTAATCATGACATAAGTGCAGGGTGGGACAGCTAATAGAAGAAACTCAGAAAAGTGTTCCTGGGTACTGAGTTAATTGCTAGATCTCAGTCTCAGTACAAAGAGAGTTGGGTGAGAGAGAGAAAAGTGTGCTGACACACTCCTTACTTGAGGTCTTATGATTTAAGTGTTAATACCTGTATAGAACTGTTTGCTTCCAAAGGATATGAGGAAACTGTACTCACAGTCAGTGGAAGGTTTATTTTTCAACATTGTTTTTTTTTCTTGAAAGAACAAGAGATCTCAATGTAGTGAACATCTGCTATCCAAACCCTCTGATTTGACAAACAGATAAAAGGTTAGCTATGTTAATTTTGAAGGAAGATAGTTTCAAAAATAAATATAGCCACATCATATGAAAAAGCTACACATTTTTATTATAAAGCAAATATTTATTGGTTTATTTATTGGTAAGTTCTACAGAAGCATATTATAATAACACAAAAAGCAGAACTTGACAAATATGGGACAACAGTGCTTTTATGAAATCTTGGTTATAATTTTTGAACACAATTTCTTGGCCATTGTTAAGCCAAAATTCTGAAATACTTGGTGATTCCATGCAAAATACTAATTTTCATTTTCTGTATCGCCTTATACAACTTCAGCATCTGTTTGTTTTCTGCTAAAATGTTGATAATGTCTACATTTGCTGATCCCCTTGAATTAACAATACCTGACATTTTTCTTCAAAAGCTTCAGTGAAAAAAACCTTTAAGTTACCTTTCTACTAGAAAATTTCAAAATGCTTAAAAGAGAAAACTTTTCTGTGTAAAGAGCAATTGTGCTATTTAAATAAATATAGAACACAGTTTATAATCTTTATAGTAAGTGAACCTATGTAATATGCAGAAACGTTACAAAACTATAGACATTTAAGCAGGTTTGCAATCCAAATGAACTCAATGGGACTGATATCTAAACAGACCCTAACAGAACCATAATGTAAAGTGAGTTATAGTATGCTTCTAATCAAGTTTGTCAGTCATTAGTCCCATACACTAATTGTAAAGGTTTTTGATCATTCGAACATTTTTCATCCATATATCTTTCTAATGCATTCCAATAAATAAGAATTTGACTAGGAGTACTAAAATGGCTTGTAACAATTTTCATGTAGTGGCAAGGAGAAAAAATCACTTTTTCTGGAAAAAAGACAGGTTCTGAATGAAGTTTTTGAGGTTGGATGTTAAGTTTTGCAACACACATACCTATAAAAACATCTTCCAACTTAAGAACAGTGATGTGTTTTGAAATTATATAAACTTGACTAACAACATCAGAGGAGAGAACATAACCAGTTCCGGAACAAAAGGGAGGGTAAAAATATTCTGGATATTCCTCTTCACTTATATACCATTTTATGTCCGGATTCCTTATTGGCTTTTCATTAATTTTTATAGAACCTGTATATAACTGGGTAGTCCTCTTTTGTTTCTGAAGAAGTTCTATCAGATAATAGACATTCACAAACATATCAGAATCAGTTTTCATTACAAATGTAGCTTGTGGACAGAATTTATGAATCCATTCAAAGCCCATTAAAGTCTTTAATGTTAAATTATTGTATGAATCGATAAAATTCTTTTGGATTATATCTTTATAATGTAAGCTTTCCATAGTCACATTAAATGGTTTATATGGCCAGAAATGATTTCCCAAGAGAAAAAAAGTTACAATTAGTTTGTCAGATAATACTCTTTTCTTTCCCCATGTTTTACGAATTATCATCCGGGCCTTTCTCGCGCCAAGTTCTGATGATACCAATATTACTAGGAATGGAGGATTCCTCTGGCAATTTATATCAGGCAATTCCAAAAAACTTTCCTTCGTAATAAATGTGACAACACAATTCAAGAGGATGATAGTGATCAAACAAGCCAGGATCAACAAAAGAAGATAAATAAGAAACTGTCTCTTGAAAGAAATCTGAAAAAGAAGAAAATTAATATATACAACATATACATACATATAGTGTGTTATTAATTAAATAAAACCATCTTAATTGCCACTCTTCAAAACCATTTTTATGGTGGTGAGGAAATGGTTGATAAGTTAAACAATAAAAACATGGATGGTAGATACAGATTGATTAAAAAATTCTATTGCAACATGGAAATTTGAGATCCAAACAAAGCAATATATTAACAGGATTATGAGAATATAAATATCTTTGCTGGTAAAAAAAATAACAAAATATGGTGCTAGAATCACATTATTAAGGAAATATCAGAGAACAAGATAGGTGCGGGGATAGGTGACAGAGAAAGCCCATTCTTAAGTGTGTGTGTGTGTGTGTATCAGAGGTGGTGTTCAGCAGGTTCTGACCAGTTCTGGAGAACTAGTAGCGGAAATTTTGAGAAGTCCAGAGAATTGGCAAATATCACCTCTGACTGGAGATTTTACAGTATCCCCAGCCACGTCCACCAAGCCATGCCCACAGAATCGGTAGTAAAAAAAATTGAATCCCACCACTGTTATGTATGTATGTAAGAGTATGTATGTATGGTATTCAGCTTTGTTCGGGTATTTTCCCACGTCATTATAGTTGTGCTTTTAAAGTTGTAGCGACGTTTCGGCAGAATCTCATCTGCCATCATCAGGCTTGTGTATTGGGTTCATCTATGTGTCAGGCTTTCACAGCCGTTTCTGTTTTAAATTTAAATTTAAATTTGAACTATACACCCTGACTAAAGTACTGACAACCAACGGCTTCCACAAAAGCAAGATCACAGGCCTGATCCCCATAAACACACTGAGACATGATAGAGACCTAGAAGATGAACAGACCTATGGAACAGCTGTCCTGCCCTACATAAGAGGTACTACCGACAAAATCAGTAAGATACTACACAGGCATCACATCAAGACTGCCTTCAAAACAGACAGAAACATAGCAGCCATCTTAAGAAACCCCAAATATAAAATTGACCTGGAAAACCAAGGCATATATGAAGTCCCCTGCACATCATGCCCTGCCAAATACATTGGACAGACCAATAGAAGAATAAGTACCCGCCTGGATGAACACAAAAGTGCAGTAAAAAAGCTGGAACACACTTCCTCACTAGTCCAACACATGAAAGCCATAGCATTGACTTCAATGGCACCAAAAACCTAGCCACTATAGAAAACCCCAGCTACAGAATTATCAGAGAAGCCATAGAGATTGAAAAAAGTCCTGAAAGCATGAATAGAAGAGATGACTCCACCAGACTGTCAATTATCTGGAAACCTGCACTCACAAACAAAAAAATCTCCACACCACAAGCCAGGCAAACACCTGGGCACAGACCCCCCCCCATACCTCCAGCTCAAACACACCCCAACCAGCCACCCAGATGAAACCTAGCTTCCTAATAAATAATAGCTGGCCATTCACCCGTAGCCAAGCCACACAAAAAGCCCCCAATACAGGAAACACAATGTTGCCAGCCAATCAAGACAAAAAAAAAAATGCTACAAAACAAGCAGAAGATATTAGAAACACCAATCAAGCAGAACACAGCAAACTCCAAGACCAATAAACACAGACCAAGACTCCCAACCAATCAGGATGAAGAAAAAACCATTCTGGCACAGCAGTAGGCTAGCACCAAATTTAAAACAGAAACAGCTGTGAAAGCCTGACACACAGACGAACAAAATACAGAAGCCTGATGATGGCAGATGAGATTCTGCCGAAACGTTGCTACAACTTTAAAAGCACAACTATAATGACATGGGAAAATACCCGAACAAAGCTGAATACCATATGTATAAATACCCACGAAAGCTTAAGAAAACAAATATGTATGTATGCGTGTATGTATGTATGTATGTATGTATGTATGTATGTATATGGATGGATGGATGGATGGATGGATGGATGGATGGATGGATAGGTAGGTAGGTAGGTAGGTAGGTAGGTAGGTAGGTTGGTTGGTAGGTAGGTAGATAGATATAACAACAGGATTGAAAATGTAGTTTACAACCTGTAATCATATTTACAACCATTAGAGCATCTCCAAGGTCATATGATCAACATTTGGCCACTTGACAACCAACATGTATTTATAATGGTAGCAGCATTCCAGGATAACATGATCACCATTTGCAATTTCCCCGGTCAGCTTCTGACAAGCAATGGCTGAAGCCAGATTCACTTAACGACTATGTGATTCGTTTAACAACTGCAACGATTTGCTTAGCAACTAAAAAAATTATAAATTCAGGAGTGACTCACTTAAACAACTGTGCTTAGCAACAGAAGTCAAGGACTACTGTCATTATTAGCCAGCCTCCAAGTGCAATTTAAGGTGCTGGTTGTTGTTTTTAAAGCTTTATATGGCTTTAAAAATGTCTTCTGCCTTTCATATAAGATCAATCAGAATAGACTCATTCCAGGTCCTTCTCTTAGATGTTGCCATCTACAGGGACAGAATGGAACCTTTTTTTTATTATTGTTGTAATAGCTTACCCCCAAGATCAGACTGGTTTCCACCATGTTAGGTTTTAGGAGATTTGTTGAAACCTTGCTTTTAAAGAAAGCTCTAAAAGATATTCTATGATAATACTTTTGTTTCAGTGGCCTTAGTTTCCTTATTAAAATTTATTGCTTTTATTTTATATCACAATTTGTTATCTTATTATACCATATTTGTGTTTTGACATTTTATTGTAAGAAGAAAATAATAGCTACTCTTGAGTTTTGCTAGATTCGAGATATATATATTAAATAAATCAATATATTCAGTAAGTTTTATTGAGCTCAAAGAGCTACTTATCCCAATGGTGGGAACTATGTTCAAAGTTGATTCCTTCAAGTTTAGAGTAAGTGGAATGAAATAAAAGGGCTTTTAAGGTGCATCTCTATTTAAATGTAGGTACTCTACAACATAACTTTTCATATCTAACCAGGGAAGAAAATGTAATTACAAGAATCCCTTATATGTATATGAATGTCACCCTTCCCACCCTGAAACTATCTGCATATTTAAAACTTGCACCTTAAATGTAAACATGATTTGTTCTTCTTTCTCAATGAATAGCTTTAAAACTGCACTGAAAAAAACTTAAGGTTTGGTTTTAGTAGTTTTAAGTGATTGGAAGATACTACTGGCTTTAAAATGAAGTAGCCACCAAAGGGGGAAAAAATCAGAAAGGACTACACAGGTAGTCTTCAAATTATGACCATAATTTAGCCGAAAATTTCTGTTGTTAAGTGAGACATTTGTTAAGTGAGTTTTGCTCCTTTTTGCAATCTTTCTTGCCACAGTTGTTTAGTGAATCACTGCAGCTGATAGGTTAGTAAGCCAGTTGTTAAGTGAATCTGGCTTCCCCATTGACTTTGTTAAAAGGTTACAAATGGTCGTAAGTATGAACCAGTTGCTAATCATCTGAATTTTGATCATGTGATCATGGGAATGCTACAAAGGTTGTAACTGTGAAAAATGGTCATGTCACTTTTTTCAGTGTCGTTGCAATTTTGAAGGTCACTAAATGAACTGTTGTAAGTCAAACATTTAAAACAAAACAGAATATTTGTATAGTTTTACCATATCTTTTATAGATGTTGGCCACAATTGCATTCCTCCTCCTGTGATTCTCTACAGAGAAATTCTAAGTAAAATTTTCCAAGGAGATTAGCTCCATAAACCTTTCCCTTCAGGCCTAGTTACGGTAGGCCTCACCTCTGCAACCCACCAAGCCCTTCACTTCTACCCCGGCCCACCCTTGCTTTTCAAAATCCGTCCCTACACTTTAATGTTTTGTTCATTGCCAGACAGTGAATGACCCACTTTCTTTGTAGCCGCTTGAAGTCTCTTCAGAACAGGGGAAACCATCTTTCTTCTCTCCCAGGAAGAGAAGAGCCTCCTGATGGGAAATCTGGGCCTGGCAGCCTAAAGGAGCAGGTAGAAGCTTGTGTCAGCACAAAACAATTTCCTCAGACTCAAGACATAAACACACACACACATATGTATGAATTAGAAGAATCAGAAGAAGAAGAAAAGTGTCAAATATGGTGAGTGGACAAGGATTCTTATTAGATGGCAAAGAAAAAGAAATCTTTATCATTATCTCAGTTTTCATCCATAGATATGTTTAAAATACGGCAAACCTAACAGGCTTTCCACAGCGCCTAATTTCATACAAAATATTTGAGACTTACAAGAGTGTCGAATATTTACACACACACACACACACACACACACACACACACACACACACACAAAACCTAAAAATAAATGCTGTAGGTTTCAGAGGTACTTACTTTCCAGTAACTGGGATCAGGCTTGGAAGAGGGTCAGGAAAAGTTAAAAGTGAGCCCTGACTGGGTGATCAAAGCTCTGCCCTTTTTTTTTTTTTTTTTCAAGAATCACATGCAGCACATGTAAAAAAAGAGGCTGGGTTTCCATCACAACGTCATTGTCGCCATCTTAACTTTTCTGACCCTCCCCCATTCCACTTGCCCATGGGGCCCGTGAGTATAGGGGCCCGTGAGTATAGGGGCCCCATACTAATCTGTGTATGTTAACCCTTCAATGCACTTTGTATTGTATAAATACAGAAACATATTTATTACATTTTATTGCATTTTTTATTAATATTAACATGATTAATAGAAATTAACACTGATTTTTTTCCCCTGTAGATGATGAGACGAGCCTGCACATTATTTTGTGTGGACTCGTCATTCTGTTCAGTCCAATGAGTTCATATCTAATAAACCTAATGACATGATTATTGGTTATATTTATACATGTTTAATTTTATCGTCCATTTACATTTTTATTCCTGTGAATAGTGTCGTAGGGGCTCAGTACACTGCTTTGCCCGGGGCCCATAATGCTTTTAAGATGGCCCTGTTGTAGCCCCAACATTGTTACCTAGAAACTGAGGCATCCTGAGGTTGGCATGGAGCTGATAAGAGCCTGATAGGAATCATCTTCACCCACCTGAAAATAAGAAGGTCCAAGTAATTCAGGCAAAACAAAAACTATTTATTAAGGGGGATCAAGTTTTTATATAGAGTCAGACTCAGAAACAAATGATACGTTCATTTGGTTTGTGTGATGTGTCAGAAAGTAACAAACCAAATAATAAAATGCATTAATTAGACATGAAAAAAGACAGACAAAATTAGGTTTTCTGTCTATGGACTTTATAACTTCATGGTATTCTTCCCTTCAAATAATTTCCAAATCTGATGTTTCTGAATATCACATTATCAGTGATATTCAACAATGGTAATTGAAATGGGAATTTCTGTCTCTAAGGGCTGCTGTTGTAAAGGACAATGTCACTTGACTGCATTGTTTAGCAACAGCAATCTCAAAAGTCCTCATTGCCATTATTCACTGAGAATTGCAGGTCATTAAGCAACAAGTCAGTGGGGAAACCAACAGGAAGTTGCAAGTCCCAGATGGTTTGCAAACAGACCTGTAGACATTAGTGGCTGTTGCCATGGTGCATGAGTGTGTGATTGGCCAGTGCTGTGGTTCACCGGCAGCAGGTGCAGACGGCTGAGGTCTCGGAGAGCGAGGACTCAGATGAGGGGCCTGCTTGTGATGCAGGGATGGGGCCAGGACCACCAGGAACGCTGCCTTCAGAGATTGTGGGGGCTGGCAGCAGTAATGAAGAGGTCCCCAAGGAGCCTGTGCCCAGTGCGTGTGCCCGCTGGGCTACTTGAAGGAAAGAGCAGCTGCAGCAACACAGGCGACTGGGGAGTAAGGCTGCAAGGTAATGGCCCTTCCCTTAAGAGTTAAAAGCCAGCTGAGAAACCGGAGTTCTTTGCAGGAAGCAAATAAGTTTTTGCACTCAAGCCTTGTGGATGTTCGGAATATCTTGGTTGGTGTTTAGAGACATTTTGTGTTTGAAATATTTCTTAGTAACTTTATCTAGTATTCTTGGCAGCCTCACATAACCTTGGCAAGGCTCGTTCTTATCAGAGACAGTTTGAAACAGCCTTTTAACTGTGAAGGAATGGAATTTGTAAAGAATCATTAAATGGTTTTGCAGTTACCTCTGTTTCATGTTTGTTTCCTTGGAACAAGGTTTGGGCCAAAACAGCTAGTGAGGTGTAGGCTGAGTGCAGCAGGGCTGAAAAAGCATGCACAAGTGGCCAGTGAGGCATGGCATGGCTAGGGATGGCTGCTGCCAGGTGGGGGAGGATATGCAAGCGGTGTAAACATTGAAAGGCTGCTGCTCGGTGGGGAGGGTGCAGGAGTGTCCATTGCAACCCTTGCAGCTTTGATTCTATACATGGAAATATTCTGTGGAGGAAATTGGCCAGTTTAAATATGGAACCCAGCCTCTTACTTTTGGTTAATGCTCTCACTCAAACATCAGTCTGAAAGAGCGTCCATTTTCTGAGGAAGGCTAGGAGATGAAACACAAGAAAAGATGTCGGGATGTAGCAGAAAGAGGGAATGGCCTTGAAGGGTAAGGAGAAGAACTGTTATTCTTTCTCATCAAGAACTTTGATGTGTGAATTATAAAGATGTCATTTCTGTCATTTATATCCCACTGAAAAAAATTTTTTTTCTTGAAACACACTAAAATGGAGATTTTGTAGTAAAGCATAATTCCTTTTTTTAAAATTGAACAAATCTGGAAAATTAAATTAAATTGGGGTAACTGCTGTTATTCCTTGCCCTAGGAATCACATTTAGAGCCCAGGTACATCATTAGAGGTTTTATTTTCAAGAATTTTATAGTGAGGCTGTGAATGATATAAAATACATAGGTTGGATGTGGAAAAAAAATGCAAAATGCAAATATGCAACTAAATGCTCAAGTAAAATATAGGCAGCTCAAAACAATACAATGCAATATCCAAGAATAGAAAAACCATTTTATTTAACATAATACTTTACAACTACATTTTCTATGTTTACATAATAGAATGTATGTTTCTTATAAACAATGTAATATAAGCTTCTGATATGAATATTTAGAAATGATATTTTATGTGTATAAAATATCCTTTCTACTCAAATTGTTTGTTAGTGTACTTTAGATGTCCAAAATATGCACGGATAGTCAAAAGTGATACAGTTACTTATTTTTGAACTCTCTTTTTCATGAATTCTTATAAATATGCCTGCAACTATACATGGTCAAGAACAGCATTAAACCTTTAAAAATATATAGCTTCTTAAAATATTTATTACACTTTTCCCCAAAATAGAGACTTTGGATTTTAATTCATGTAAATAAGCATTGACTCTGAATGGCACCAGCTTTGCTGCTGTCTTGAACATTTCAGGTTAAATCAGCTTGAAAGCCAATGTTGAAACATGTTAATATAGCAACCACTTACATGTTTGAAAATGTTAAGGACAGATATTTTCCTAATTCACATAAACTTCCTTCTTTATTTGTAATTGGACTTGCCTATTTAAAAAAATATTTTGTACATTGGGTTTTTCGCAAATATCTGCACATCTAATTCTATCCAAGGGCCAACTTGGAAGTAAGTTTGGTGGAAATTACAAGCATTTAATTTTCAGCCATGTGTTTTGTTTTGTTTAATAAAATAAATGTTACACAACTAATTGGATGACAATTGAAAAGATATTCAAAATTTGCTAGTTAAAAATGTAATTATTTAGCGTCTTATTGGAGTCAACAGAATCATGTGTGCAACAATTGAAGAACTTTACATCTAAATTCTAAATGCACTGTTTCAAATGACGGGGACATTTTTTTTAAAAAAAATATTCTTCTTTGCTTTTACACCTATTTCTATATCTTTTCATTTATATATTCAAAAGATTCATATAACCATCCAACAAACTCTGGATGACTTATAATAACAACAGCAATAGTAGATTAGATTAGATTAACATAGTTGGAAGGGATCTTGTAGGCCATCTAGTCCAACCCCCATCCACCCAAGCAGGAGACCCTACACCATTTCTGACAAATGGCAGTCCAATCTCTTATTGAAAGCCTCCAGCAATGAAGCTCCCACAACTTCCAAAGGCAAGCTGTTCCATTTGTTGATTGTTCTCACTGTCAGAAAATTTCTCCTTATTTCTAGGTTGAATCTCTCCTCGATCAGTTTCCATCCATTATTCCTTATCTGGCCTTCAGGTGCCTTGGAAAATAGCTTGACCCCTTCCTCTCTGTGGCAGCCCATCAAATATTGGAACAGTGCTATCATGTCTCCCCTGGTCCTTCTCTTCACTAGACTAGCCATGCCCAGTTCTTGTAGCCATTCTTCATGTGTTTTAGTCTCCAGTCCCCTAATCGTCCTGGTTGCCCTTCTCTGCATTTTTTTAGAGTCTCAACATTTTTTTTTTATAGTGTGGTGACCAAAATCAGATGCAGTATTCTAGGTGTGATCTTACTAAGGCTTTATGGAGTGGTATTAGTACATTTGATCTTGATTGTATCCCTCTGTTAATGCAACTTTTGGCTGCCACCACACACTGCTGGCTCATATAGTAATAAAAACATTATCAGACTTGAAACCAAAAAGCTGATAGCTCAACCCACATTCTCCTTATATCCAATAATACAGTCCCCAGGTTCCAACCTCATCCTGCCCCAATGCTTAGAGGAAGAATGGATCATTCTTCTCTTCTTATCTCCCAACAGCTCCTTCGGTTACCTTCCACTATTGGAACCATTTTTCCCATCCTCCAGAGAAGTCTGATAAGTGACAGGTGGAGAAACGCAGGCTGTAGGAGAAAGAAATATCTTCTCCTTCCTGATTCTGCTTAATAGAAACTTTCATCACTGGAAAACCTTGGATTTCACCCTTGACTTAGAATGATTATCCAGTAAATGTTCAAATATTATTTATATGAAATAAATACAGATAGTCCTCAACTTATGACCACAACTGAGCCCCAAATTTCCATTGCTGAGACATTTGTTAAGTGAATGTTGCCCCATTTCACAACCTTTCTTGCCATAGTTGTTACATGAATCACTGCAGTTCTTAAGTTAATGACACGGTTATTAAGTGACTCTGGCTTTCCCAATGACTTTGCTTGCGAGAAGGTCGCAAAAGGTGATTACATGACCCCAGGACACTGCAACTGTCATAAATATGAGTCAGTTGCCAAGCACCTGAATTTTGATCACATGACTATGGGGATGCTGCAACGGTTGTGTGAAAAAGGTCATAAGTCACTTTTTCAGTGCTGCTGAAATTGGAACGGTCACTAAATAAACTGTTGTAAGTCGAGGACTATCTGTATAAAATAACAACAAATGCAGTTAACATACAATAGTAAATGGGAACTTTATAGTATCCTGGATTTGTGTTAATACATCAGCCTTACCAGGTAGACTAAACAGGAAACACGACCAGATCAACTAATTCTACTTTATTGTTAGATTACACTAACAGAATCTGGAAAACACAGTTGTCCTTCCACATCGTTTACCCCATAGAAATTAGGGAGGGTCTCTTCCGAGCGTCTTACCCCATCTTACCGCTGCAGATTATGATGTCTCTTATCTAACCATTCTCTTAGGCAGCATCTCTTTGCCCTTTCTCCCAGGACCTTTCCCACAAAACATCATTAGTAACAGTGGTGGAAAATGTTGATAAAAACAACAAAATGTTGATAAATTCAAAAGGATAATGTTATTAGAGGAAATGAGATTTTCAATTTGCAACCTTAAAGGAAAATATTATGCAATTTATTTAGGGAGTAAGCCAATTAAATATAAGACTTGCTTCTTAACCAACAAACAGAGGATTGGTGTGTAAAATAATGTAGCCCAACCCCTTTTAGCTAAATCAATGTTTCCCAACTTTAAAATGGTGGGCTTCAGTTCCCAGAAATCCCCAGCCAGCATAGCCATTGCTAAGCATTCTAGAAATTAAAATCTAAACATTCTACCTGTGCAGAGACTGGGAAACATAAGGCTAAATAACTATGAAATATCTAAGAAAAAAAATGAGCATTTCAGATTTTTGTCTGTGCTGGCCTAGTTGAAGATAATTTTGATGCATTTCTTCACCAAAATCATCTGCCCCCACTTTAGGACGATTTCAGCCATCAGGGCATTTTTCATTCATGGATCTCTCCAGTGCATTCCAAAAGATCATCAGCTCATGAGGTTTCACAAAATGGCTGGCCACAATTTTCTTAAAGCGACAAGGTGAAAATTCAAGCCTTTCAGGGAAGAAAGTTTGCTTGGAATGGAGGTTTTCCGGTTTGATATCAAGTTCAACAAGGCACAAGCCTATGAATACATCCTCCAGCTTAATAAAAGGAATATTGTCAGAAATTCTATACACCAGACTAGCAACATCTGTTGAGAAAACATAGCCAGTCCCTGAACAAAAAGGAGGGTATATGTTTCTTGGATATTCATGTTTATTCACATACCATTTACTGGATATTTTCCGTATTGGATGCTCATTTCATTTCAAAAAGCCAGTGAAGAATCTGGTATTCTGGATTTTTTTTTGAAGGAGTTCAGTCAGATAGTAGGTATTTACAAACACATCTGAGTCTGCTTTCATTACAAAGCTAGACTCTTGAGCAGAATTTGTGAATCCATTCAATGCCCATCATAGTTTTTAATGTTAAATTATAATAGGTATCTATAAAATTCTTCTGGATGATGTCTCCATATTTCAGACTCTCGTTAGTCACAGCAACCTGTTCTTCAGGATTCAAGGTAGTTCCCAAAAGAAAATGGGTTACAATAAATTTATTTGCTATTAATTTTTTTTTTGCCCCAGGTCTCACGGATTATTACACGAACTTTTAAATCAGTAGGAGAGGAAGTTACTAGAATGACCAGAAATGGAGGGTTCTGGCTACAATCTGAATGAGGTACCAACAAAAAATGTCCACTGCCTTGTTTTAAAAACATGTCCTCAGTTTTGGTCTCACAGAAGTTGCATACTCCAACTGAAGTCCACTTGATCAAAAAACACAACCCAGCAAAGACTAGTATGGTTGTCCAAAAAAGTATTTGTCTGAGTCTTTTGGAAGCCATCTAGGGAAAAAAGAAATAAGGGCTACATGGAAAAGATGAATTCCTTGCATTGATATAAAAGAAAGATGAGCAAAGCTGATGCTGAGCTACAATTCTGTATATAATCAGACAGTAACCAACATCGTAGGATGTTGAGAACTGTATGCTTAGGAACATTTGGACAGATTCTCATCCCTGCATTAGGTCTTTCAATTAATACAAATGTGTATCCTTTTTATCTGAACCAAGTGTTTTCCCTGCAGATTTGGTGTAGAACAAATTGAGGACTGATTTTGGCAAATAAGGAGCAATAAGCAAGGAATTTACACAAAAGCAAATTGGAGGAAAACCCTATGAAGAAAAAAGTGCTGCATAAGCAAAAGAAATAAAAGAATGCTGCATTATGTAAAACCCCAGTACCTTGCAGACAAAGTACTTCCTCTGGAATTCTTACTTCTTCAACATGCCTATGGAAAAATAATAAAAGTTCTCAAACACAAGAAGCAGATACGTTGTTTGAATATTCAGACCTTGAATATAAATTTTATTTTTTTTAAATTCTATTTCTCATCAATATGGCCAAGAGAAAAATTAAAAGGTATCACTTCAGAGATACAACTTATAGTTTTTAGTCATGCAGTAATTTTAGAATATTACCATTTCATATATCCAGCACTCATATATCTGGCAGATCCAAAAGCATCCTGGCTATTAGAAAATAAAGCTATACATTGGCAGTGGCTTTCTTTTCAGTGTTGAGTATAAGTCTTGTCAAAATGTATACACCTAAGGATGAGTAAAAGAAAGGGTCGTCCTCAATATTGTAAACTAGATGTAAAATTCTAACTACGTTTACAGGGCTTTTGTTTGTTTCTTATAATTTTTGCCATAGTCTCCAAAAGTTCTAGTATTTTTTTTACCATAAACCTAAATATATAGAGAACAAAGATTCATATTAAAAACATACGGGCTGCAAACCCCACCTGCATTTTATAAAATACCCTTCTTCTGTGCCAATGGAAGAGGAAAGGTTCTGTGTTTCCTAAAGCAGACTAAAGCTCCACCAGGAGGGAATTCCAAAGAATGTGGGTGGCAATGAAAAACTTCACCTCCAAGGACCTGCCAAGTGACAGTTTGCAGAAATGAGACCTGGAGATATGAGGGTTGGATGAAAAGCAATGCCTCCAATGTTATAAATTACCAACAAATGGCAGTATTGATGGCAGTACTTTGCTATCTTTCACTTAAATTGGGTTAAATCTTTCTCTGCCTTGTTCTCTTTTACTATAACACAGGCAGCCCTTTAGTTTAATTATAGTTCAGTCTTACTGCGTGCTCTGGCCTATAACCTGTCAGAGTCTGCAGCACATCCAACCAGCACACAAGTAAATAATTCTGCAGGATTCATCTACGTAAGTACCTTCTTTTATATACAATACCATACAGCAGAAGCCAGGAACAAAATCAGGAACACAGAAGCAAGTCATTACAGAGTAGAGAGATACAGAAGCAAAGATTTACAGAGGCAAAGATCCAAGGACAAACCAACTCTTTTATACAGTTCAGCAAGTCTAAGCCACACCCAGACTCCAAACTGTTTCTTATGGCCCCATACAAACAAATACTATGTTTCAGTATCCAAACAGTCCCCATTGACTGACCTGTTACCATGTCTATTCAAACATTCCCCATTGGGTGACTTGTTATCATGTCTATTCCAGCTCATAATTATTTATATACTAACTCTCTCCCCACCAGCTGAATTCCGCGATGCACTCTGGGACCTATTGCGAGGAGACTTGCGTGTGGGCGAGTCACCCCGGTGCCGTGAGGCGTGTGCATGTTTGAGTGTTTTCTCAAAAAATGTAGAGATCCTGGCAAGGAAGGAAGACAGTCCCATATATGGAACCATGCTGAGATGGGAAATGGGTGATTGGGTAAGGGAGTAGTGTTCTATAGGAGAGGTTGATTGTATTGTAGCTAATGTGTGCTGGATTGAAGGAGAGCTATGTGGCCGGTCCACCTAACAGCTAGATTTTATTGCTGTTGGTGTAAGGCAGGGGTCCCCAACCACCGGGCCGCGGACCGGTACCGGGCCGTGGAGCACTCTTTACCGGGCTGCAAAGAAAAAAAAATGGCGGCTTTCTTCGCCTTCGGTGAATGCTGCTGGGATCGGGGATCAAGGACACAAATGAAAGAAGGGGAGGGAGGAAGCAACCGAAGCCTGTCCTGCTCTCTGGCTCAGCTCTCTCAGTCGCTCTCTCGCTCCTCCACCAGCCCAGGAAGAAACTGCTTCAAAGAAGCCGGGGGGGGGGTGGCTTTTCCTGTCGCCGCAGCTTCCCCGAAGTGCCCGTTTCACCCCCACCCCGCCTGCCCGCTCGCTCGCGGTTCAATCCACAGTGCTCCGTTCTGCCTGCCTGCCTGTCTGGTTGTTTGGGAGCAGCTTCGGCTGAGAATAATAACTATTTGCCTCTTTTTATCAGCCGAAGCTGCTCCGAAACGAAGAAGGCAGGCAGGCAGGCAGGTAGAACGGAGCACTGTGGATTGAACCGCGAGCGGGCGGGCGGGGTGGGGGTGAAACGGGCGCTTCGGGGAAGCTGTGGCGACAGGAAAAGCCACCCCACCCCCCGGCTTCTTTGAAGCAGTTTCTTCCTGGGCTGCTGGAGGAGCGATAGAGTGACTGAGAGAGGAACGAGGCAGACACCTGAGGGAGGGAGGGAGGGAGACACCTGAGGTATGGGGCTGAGGGAGGCAGGGCCGAACTTGGTGGTTTGCTGGCAGACGTTTTATTACCCGACTAGGTAACAACATCAGATGTTACCTAGTCAGGTAATGAAACGTCTGCAAGCAAACTACCAAACTCGGATTCTCCCCCACCCCCCCCGGTCCTTGAAAAAATGTTTCTGCTTGAAACCGGTCCCTGGTACAAAAAAGGTTGGGGACCACTGGTGTAAGGCATCCAGAAAGTATCCATGATATCAATCACTCCGAGACGTTATCTCTCCAATTGATTTATTAGTAACAGATCTGGCATGTCAAAAGCAATTTCCCAAGTGAAAGTTTTTTTGCGCGTTACACCTAATTCACCTTCTCTTCTCCCTTCTCTCCTCCCACTTCTATACTTCATAAATCAAGAGAACCAATTAACTGCAACTGGAAATTCTTAATACGACATACAGAATAACCTTGAACTTTTCAACTCCTCTAACTCTCTAAAAAAATGTGGCAGCTGAATTTCAAGGCTGACAGGTGTCGCCCCTTGAAAACTCATCCTCCTAAAAGAAAATTAAAAAAACACATACAGGGGTTAATACATTGTCCTTAACCCCTTCCCCCCCATGAGGACCCTTCGGTTTGTGGGGAAAATCCTCATGGAATTGGTTAACCAATTGATCAGCATGAACATCCTAATTCTTTACCCAATTAGCATCTGAGCGGGGGTATTCTTTCCATAAAACCAAATATTGCAATCGGCCACAGTGTAATCTAGAATCGAGAATTTTTTGAATCTCATAATCTGTTTCCCAATGTACAGTTAACAGTTTAGGGGGAGCGATTGGCAGTGGTCTTATCATCGATGTAGTAGCTGGTTTTAGTAAAGTACAATGGAACACCGGATGAATTTTCTCCAATAATCCAGGAAGACTTAATTGGACAGTGACCGGATTATCTTTGAAATTGGGAACGGACCCAAGAATTTTGGACCCAGCTTCTTACTGGGCAGTTTCAACCTAAGATACTTGGTTGACAAATATACTTTGTCCCCTACTTTAAAAGGCAGTTGAAGGGATCTATGTTTATCCGCCTGTTTTTCATAATTTTTTGCAGCTTTGGTCAAAGCTTTTTTTTTTTTGAAAGTTTTATTTGGGTTTTCACAAAAACAAAATACAAATAAAACATCTTTTTTGAAAATAGCATGGTCCCAGGTTATCACTTCTTCATACAAACACCAAACTCAATTTCATGCTCATTTTTATATTCTATTCCATATCTTATTACTGTTTTATATTTTCTACATAGTTTTTCCCCTCTTTTAATTTTCTCAACTTTATTTTAATTATCTCATCTCAATCAAATCATTATATTTATACTTTTGTCTGTCCTGTTTCAATTTCATATTATCTTTTCTTATTAAACAAATTTTTCCCTGTAGTTACCAATTGGAGTATGACACGTTTATATCTTTTAATTTTATCCATTCAAACTCTTATTTAAGCTTCAATGTATACCTTTAAGATTATAGCATTCAATATAATACATAACTTCCAATCGAATTCTGCTTGGTACATTCTTAAAATACACACTATATTCTTAAAAAGAAAAAATTATATATATAATTGAGTGAGAGAGACTGAGCTGCACCATTCTTGGGTTTATTACTTTCACTATGGGAAATGTTCCTAGAAATTTTGGACCCAGTTTCTTCGTAGGCAACTTTACCTAAGGTATATACATACATACATACATACATACATACATACATACATACATACACACACACACACACACACATATATATACATATATACATATATACATATATACATATATACATATATACACATATACATATATACACATACACATACACATACACATACACATACACATACACATACACATACACACACATATATATATATATATATATATATATATATATATATATATATATA